AAAGATGCACTTATCAGAAATTATGAGCATTTGAAGTTTTATGCAGCCACCACATGGTGCATGTGCAAAAGTGTGGATATCTGAGGAGTTTACTGAAAAAAAAGGTAAATGAAAAGTAGTAAAAAAAAAAATACATCAGAAAACTTATTTGGTGGAATAATTTTTTCTTCAAATAATAAATTGATACAAAACTAGTGTGTGTTAAAGCCATCAAGCTTGTGATAGAGTAAATGTTGATCTTGATTCCATCAAGATCAACATTTACTTTATCACAAGCTTTAATTTAGCTTTAATAAATGTCAAAGTTGAATTAAAGCTTACTGATTTTAAAATTAAGATTAATACTTTGTGTTGCAGAATTTCATTTGAGCTTGATTATCCTGAGAATTTTGCTATCAAATGTTTTAAAAGACCAATGAAAACATTTAGAGAATTTTTTAAAATAAATGAAGTACTAAAAAGTTCTTACTGATATTTATTTTAGAATATAATTTGCTTTAGAACAGTGGTTCCCAACTTATTTTTATTGCAGAACCCTTTTGACTTTAGTAAAAAAATGTTGGAACCCTGACAGTTTTTAACGATTATAGATAAAACAGTAAATAGAAACACCAAAAACAATTTATTGAAGATGAAAGAAAAAAGAAAGATTAATAATGGAAAGCAAATAGTCTTACTTAATGCAAATTGGTCATTAATGTCAAAGGCTAATATTTTAATGATTTTTTAGCTTTAGGTTTAGTTTTACTGTTTTTTAGCTTTACTGTGTTTCCCCGAAAATAAGACATCCTATGAAAATAAGACTTAGCACAGGTTTTCTGAATTTCTAAATATAAGGCCTCTCCCTGAAAGTAAGACCTAGCAAAGTTTTTTTACTCCTAACGGTCATCAATCAGTGGCTGTACTTTCAAAAAGCCAACGGCATTGGCTTTTTGAAAGTACAGCCACTGATTGGTCAGCAGACAATCACGCCACACGACATAATTTGCATAAGACTATGGCTTGGGAATCACAGATTTGCATAACGTTACGGCTGATGATCGCTAATTGGTCGGCCGGGAATCATGCCACATCACATTTGCAAAGTGCTACAGTTTAGTAAGCACTAATTGGTCATCAAGCCCGACGTCGACGCTATGAAAAGGTTAAGTTGAAGCGAGAGTGGGAACGTCCGCTCCAGCACGGGAACTTTGTAAGTTCACTGCTGAGGCCTGATTGTAAGGCAATCAATGGCCTAGCCCAGTCTTTGGATCGGGCAATGAGGGCTATTTTTGTGAATGGTCGCTACTTGCTTGGCACTTGGGTTGGAGGACTTGTCTCCCATCCATTAGGAGTGCTGTATAGGAGTAGTCGTACCAGATGCCAGATCGGTTTTACCGGTTGAGGTTTTCAATAAACTTTATCGACGTTGGTTTTATTTAAGTTCAGTTTGACATGACTGGATATACGTCACTGTCGTCTAAGTTCGAGTTGGGAATTTTTTTGTTCAACAATAAATGTGAATTATTCTTCATGGAAAAATAACACATCCCCTGAAAATAAGACCTAGCGCATCTTTGAGAGCTTCTTATTTTTGGGGAAACATGGTAGGTTTAGTTTTACTGTTTTTTATGATTTTTATTATCTTGTCAAACATTAGTCTATATCATGATTTCAGTTTGTTCCATTACTAATAAATCAGTCCCCACTGTTTATAAAACTATAAATAATTCTAGCACACATAAAGGATGTAAACGACATCATAACAAGACTCGATCCCAGACTGGAACAATTACACCTTCACATCCCAAATCTGTATGACACATTCATACATCATTAGACTCAATGGATTTTATTGTGGAATTCCAAATTGGCAACTTGCATTGCCAATAAAATTTACAAGTTGGAAACCCCTAGTAAATTACAATAAAACACAAGTTGGGAACCCCTGTTTTAGTAATATCAGTAATGGAGTAAGTCTAATTGGTTAAAGTAAAATCTTATGCTCTAAAATCTTAGTTTTTAAATCATCATAAAATTGAACTCCTATATCTAATTGCCAATGGTGTTGTGAAGTTGCACCATGGCAAGCGAGCCATAAAGATATACATTAAAAATATATAGCATATTACAAATAAAGTGAATCAGTCTTAAAATTTGGAATCAGAGCCGTAACTAGCCATTCCTGTGCCCTGTGCAAGAATTTGAATTTAGGCCCCTTAATTTATTTGGTTTGGGAAAATAATAAAACAAATATACTACAATAGACTTTTAATAAGATTTATTTTAATTGAACTTTTCTGGCTTTCATTTCAGCAAATTCATTAATTACATGATCATAATTAGTATTTTTAATGATAATGTATTCTATTGAAATAATAGAAATATTGGACAATCGTTCTTGCCCGATATTTAATCTTAATAAATTTTTTATTAATTTTAACTTGCTAAAACTTCTCTCGCACGAAGCAATAGAAACGGGAAGAGTTAGAAATATTCGAAGAACGACATTGATATTTGGGTAAGACTCAACTAAACCAAAATCACGAAGAGCCTGTAGAATATTAAGCGAAAACGCAGTTTCTATATTTTGTATAAGAGTCGTTACTTCAAACTTAAAACTTTCAATTTCACTTGTGAATTCGTACTTTTTTAAATCTTTGCTATATTTAACAGCGAGATCTGCAGCTGATTTTTTTTAAATCAGCAACACTCATGTATTATAAAGAAGAGCCATAGAGAAAGCAAAAATTAGCCTTTTTCCAGTATCATATTAAAGACCTCGGGGGCCCCTTCGAGGCCGCATAGTTCGCTTACCGCCGTTGAGGTATACAACACATATGGGTACTAATATAAAGCAAAAAGTTATGTCAGAATTTCTGCACGCCTTTTACAACCTCGAGACTAAGATTTTATTCGAGAGTTACCACGTTATCTATTTAGCAATTAAAAAAATCCCCGGGCAGATTTATTTTTATTACAAAATGTTATCTTTACAGATTTCTAGCTCTGCACACTGTAGAAAAATCTAGAAATACAGTTTTATATATCGTAATAATATTAGTCGTCGCCAGAGAGCTCTATAAAGTAGAGAAATATCTATAAATTTGAAAACTATAAACATAAATTTAAATTTCTCAAAAAATAAATAAACAAAATTTCAAAAGTCGGTACTTTTGGCTGATTTGTCTGCTGTCTCCGCTATCTCACTACGTCCCTCTAAAAGTCGCCACGGTTGGGAACACTGGTGAGCAGACATCTAGGGTCTAAATAAGGCAAAATGTAATCGCCAATAAAAAGGAGGAAAAATTCAAGATTTAAAACTATAATTTCTTGTGAACAGCAGTTTGGGCCCCCTTCCAAGTGGGCCCTGTGCGAATGCACCTGTTGCACCTGCCTAGTTACGGCTCTGTTTGGAATGATTAAAGGACAAACTGTAAGGGAACTATGTACCTGCATGTATATCAGAGATCCCTAGATTATCGGTCATATGTGGGGTTTCTTATTAAAGTACAGTGGTATGTAATTTAAAATGGTGTCATCAGAAAGTATATGAAAATTTAAACAGCATTTACTCTGGTATATTTTTAGATAACTTGCACCAGTATTGAATAAAGTAAACATCTAAGTCAGGAAAAGCAGGAAGGTAACATGTCTTTACAGTTCCATGCTGTGAGTGGTATGTGTCCAAGTCACTTCCCAGGAATTAGTGCACAAGCATACATCCAAAGACACATTACAAGGTTTCTTCAGAAGGGTGGACAGTACTTTGAATATAAGTCACATTAGATGAACTAATTGTACTAATTCTCTGCAAATATTTAATAAAACTGTTTTCAATCATTCTCTGCTGGAGTTTTTTATCATGTTTTTGCAAATTGAAACAAAGACTGATTATCCCTATTGCTGTGACTTACGGTTTAATAATGCAAGATCCTGCATTCAAAAGCATGTACTTACCACTGTCATCTATCATAATGGCATATTGCAGCCAAGTGCAATATGCCATTGTTGTGGTTAGTATGGTCAACTTTAACAACACAGAGCTATACACACACATGCTAATAACAGTTGTACCTGTTTACATGCTTGTATGTCTTCCTGTTTTTCTTTACTTACAAGTTAGATGTTTGTTAACTCATACTCAGAGCTAGCCCTACCATAGGGCGAACAGAGCAGCCACTCCAGGAGCTAAGTCCTAGGGGGCACCTCAGTGGTAAAGAAAATTAAAGGGTATAAATTAAGGGCAACCAAGGGGGTGCCATAATAGGATCCTGCTCCATCCTAAAACTTACCTCGGGCTGGCATTGCTCACACCGTTGTCAAGTAAAGTAAAGATAAAATTATCCCAGGGTAAATACTGTTCGGATTTTCATATATTTTCTGATGGCACTATTTTGACTTCACATACCATTGGACTTGAACCTGAAACCCCTGTAGGACCATGTAATCTGGGTGTCTCCAACATACACGCTCACCAAATTTTGGACATGTATAGTTTGCTTGCTTGGCTCTGATTGTTCAATCTTCCTATCTTTAGGGTATGGAACTGATTCATTTTATTTGTAACACACTGTATATTTGAATGTATAGCTACTTGGATAGATTTTACTGATATTTTAAAAATTTCCATTTTCAATTTATTACTCTTTCAAAGTTGCAAATATTTTCTTAAAAGTTGAAATATATTTCAGTATAAATATTTTTTCGTTCTTTCTTTTGCTAATTATAAGTTTGAATTTGTATTGAACATATTAAGCCTGTTTTTATAATAGAATTTTGCTATTATAGCTGCATATTCTGATTCAGCATGGTAGAGCATGAATTTAGCTTATTTAATTGATAAGCTAAATTTAAACCTAGTCCATCAGCTTTTTATAATTATAAAGATAATGGATTTGGTATTGATCTGATTTTACTTGTCTGTCAGTTGTCAGAACATGCAGTTTTAAGACCAGTAATAATTTTTATTAACAGTATTAAAGTTTATTTATGTTGTGATATTTTAATATATTTTAAAGGTATGTTCGTTTTTGGAATATACTTTCTAATTCAGAAAATCCTGAAGTAATTGGAGAAATGGATGATCCTTTTTGTTGTGCCTATTCTCCATCGGGATCAATATTAGCAGTCGGGTAAGTGATTATATTACTGATAAATTTTCTAAACATATAATTAAAATTTTATCTAAGGTAATAAATTAGAAAAGCCTGACACTCTAATTTCTGAAAATGTTTATAATAAAAATTTATTTAAATATAAAATGAAAAGTTAAGCTAGTTAATTTCAAATGAATGTCTTTTATTTGGTCTGTTTCTGATGTGATATTTAGTTTTGCTTGGTTGATTGTTTTAAATATGAAAGTTTTATTTCATTAAATATTGTAATTTAAAGATTATTTAACTTGTCATAATTTCTTCGAAACATAAAATTATAATATGAAAGATCACAGTTCTAAATTTATGAATTATTTGAATTTTTATATCAATGTAAAGCTTTTATATATTGCATTTAGAAGCACAGTTTAATAGTTTTGGAAAGGAAGGTAAAAAAGAAAAATCATTTTCTTATCACTTTCAAGTAATTTTGGTTTAGATCAAGAAATTGTGAGAAAAAATTTTTTAATCACCATCAAAATTTTAGTGATTTTGAACACGTATCATAGAACTATTGATACTTAAGAAGTATGAATGATTTAATCAGGTAAGTGTTTTTTCATCAAGAAAATAATCAGTCCTCTAATTGCTCAGAAACTGGTAATGTAAAAAATTATGTGTATTTTTTTTTAAAATAGTACTATATATGCTGAATGTCTTGAATTATTAGACATAGGATAGAGCTAAATATCAATAAATTTGTATTTAATATGTTGCAAGTGTGAATAATTAGGTAATTTCTGTTATTTGAATAGAATAGCACTGTCTTTGCCAATTTTTTTTAATATAATTCACTTCAAATTTTCTGTGTGTAATTATATCAAGACATTCTGTATAAATGTTTCTATTACTATATAGATGTTTTTTCAAATATGCATGTTAATATTTTTACCAAAATGAATAAATTATTATTTATCATTTAACTGTTGTTTATAAGAATTTGTTTAAATGATCATCAGTACATAATATTGTCGCTGATATAAAATGAATATATTTTGCTATCAGTGCTGTTGTAAAAGTAGTAAAAGAATATTTTTCTTTTGCTTACAAATTGTAAATGAAAATTTTTATAACAATCGTAGATAAGATTATCATTACAAAACATTTCAGTCAAACATAAAATTACAATGAATTTTTTTAAAATTAACTTTTTATTAGATTATCTTAATTTATATATACTTTAAATTGTAAAATTCTTGTATGATATTATAAAAAATAAAAATCTATGTTGATCAATGTTCCATTTCAAGAATTTTCTGTAACTGAATCTGGTCTAAAAAATCTAATAAAATTTTTAATTATAAAAGTATTTCAGAATTTAGAAATTAGATGTTTAGTTACCAAATACACAAATTGGATTAAAAAAAACATTGATTTTTTTTAAAACAATCTTAATGATTATTTTCACAAATGAATATTGCATTAGTGAAAAAACTTGCAAAATGAAATAAAAATTCAAAAATAAATTATTAAATGTTTGATTTTCCTCAAACTTTACAATTCTTATTTTGAACAGATTAATCATATAAGTATTAAAAGTGAAGTTGATGGAAAATTTCTATATTATCAAATTGAATTATGAAAATAATTCATATATTTTTTATATATTGATAATTAAATATATTAAATCAATTACTCTACCTTGTTTTCTATATTCTAGTATTTATTATACAAATTTGTGATAAAAATAATTAAACAAATGACAATAAATGATAATCAGTATATAAATGTTTCTCAAAAGATTTAAATCATGTTTTTGTTTTAATTGATTAGGAGTTATCCTGCATTAATACTTCTCATTCATATAATCTATTCCTTGCAAATTGATAATTTGCAGAAACTAATTTGATGTTTTTGCCTTAAACTTAATTGAGAACATTTCTCAAATGCTATAAAAGCAGTTGATTTTTTTTAAATGTCCATTGTAGAATCATGCAAGTCTGCATAAGGTTGGACTGACTTAAGTAGTAACATACAGTATAAACTCTTATTTGAAAATATGACAATGATACTTAATATTTATATAAAAACTGGGATTGAATAGTAAAAAGTAGTGACAAAAACACTCACTCAATTCTTAAATGAATGAACTTTGTAATAATAATTAATTATATATTATATTTATATAAATTAAACCAAGTACAATTTATTTTCTTATTTGATAAGGAAGTTTGTTTTAAAAATAATGATTAAAATATCTAATAATCATTTGCTGAAATATATTCTTACAATATAATTATATTTAAAATTTTAAATATTCCAAATCACCACTAATAATTATTTTAAGGTAGAAATCACTGGCTTGCAGTGTAGAAATAGATAAAATGTTTTATTATTGAGATCTAAAATTACACAGTGAAGTAAGAGATTTATTTAATTAATGATTTCAAATGCTTTTGTATCCAAATTCAATTTATATTATATAAATAAAATACATTGGAAAACTAGCATTGTATGTATAAAAAACAAAAAAAGAAAAACAAAATTAGAGTTTCTGAATCAAACTTACAAATATTCTAATATTGTTAAATCTGTTTTAGCTATGAAAATTAAACAGCCACTGAGATATGTCAAATTTTTTTTCTATATTTAAAATTGAAACATTATTACATTTATATAAATTTAATTTTAAATTATGTAAGTAAATTTCTTGAATTTTACATAATGCTTAAAATACAATATATATACAGTACTTGAGTTCCGTATGAAATCAAACTTGAGGTAAAATATATATATGTATGTATCGTTTGTTGTTTTTCCAGAAAAACAAATTGATATTTTCTGTTCTTATTATAACATGCATATTTGAAATTAAAATAATTTTTGTTTATTAAAATACCCAAAACCAATATGTTACTATTTTAGTTAAGACAACAGAATTGTTAATATTTAAGTTTCTTAATTAAAATAGTAAAATATTTTTAACAAATCACATTTTAATTGTAATTATACTAATTTTGTCAAAAGTTCAGTTATTTTAAGTGAAGGGACTTTATTAATAATGTTAATGTATTTTTTTTTTATAATAATTGATGAATGTCTATATTTAGATTATAATTTTTATTGAATTTTTAGTTATAAAAATTATTTTAACTTCATATTTAAAGCAATATCTTAAAATTTTATAAAGTAATATGTGATATTTAATATTATTAAATTAAATAATTATATAATTTTATTGATTTATAAAGCATAACTAAATAAAAATCAATGAAAAATTTATAACTAATAAAATGTAAGCTGTTTAATTTATTATTTTAAATGATTTTTTAGCAAAGAATGTTTTAGTAAATATTTAATATATTTTTAGTTTAGTTAATTATGCTTTAATATTTAAATAAAATTTCAGAATTATATAGATTGTTTGGCTTTTCCTTAAAAAATAATTTATATAAAATTTGGTGAAACTTATCTAAATTTGAAATGATTGTATAAAGAGATTCAAAATGAGTTATTTGACTAGAATTTCTTTACATCATTTTTCAATTTGTAATTAAGAATTTTTTTAAAATAAATATTAAAGGAATTTTCATATTTGATATTGTTTGAATTGCTTTATAAGTTTCACCATAAAGTAAAATTAGACAAAAAAAAAAAAAATTATTACTAATTTTTAAATTATCAATATATACTATTTTTAAAATACTCAACATATGATGGTTAGTGGGGGTAAAGGTTTCGTATGACCAGCAAGGTCCTGTCTTTGTCTGATCCTTTCCATTTGCAGTGGTTTCGACGAGATGTGGTAGATGGCTTGCCAGTGCTACCTGCAGCTGTTCGTCCCTTGTATTGTTGTTGTCGTCATCTCCTGTTGCCTTCAGCCCTCATAGTTGCTGAAGGAGAGAGGGAGGTTGTTAGAGGTTTGTCTCCCTATCTGCAGGGAGGAAACCCATGGTTTCTCATCTAGACTAGAGTTCTGTAATAAATTTTACTCCTCCACTTTCTTATATTAATTAAAATTCTATCAAACTTTAACCTAAAATAAATTTATCTTTTTTATATAAAAATATGTATTTAGCTATCTTAACTTTATTGTTAATCATTTTTGTGCACAAAACTCGTAATGTATATAAAGTTTTTTTTATAAAATCTAAATAGTTATCCTTGTTTCATATACATATTTAGTATTATTAAAATTATTATAAACTAAAATATTAATCATAATTGATAATACTCCTAATTAATTTGTTATAAAATCATTTTAATTAACAATAATTTATAATAATAGCAATTATAAATATTAAATATCAAATTCCAATAATATATGAAATTATGAAACTTTAGTGTAATTTTATTAAATATGAAAAAAAGAAGGAATTGATTGATTTTTAAGAAAATTTTTTATTATTGATGTTAAAGGTTTTGTTTTAAAACTTATAATAGATCATAATACCATTGTTAGGATGTCAAATTCATGTTGGCTATAGATTGATTATAAAAAGGTAAATTATATATTATTAAATTATAAATTGGTAAAAGTTGAAAACATTACACCCCGACAGAATTGATGGAATCTTATGAAACACAATAGATATGTATAGGGTCATATCCAGAAGAAATAAATTAGGCCTATTTTAGCACTGTTTTGTACATGTTTAAGTAAGAAGTTTGCCCACATTGAATCATTGCTTGTCCCTGCCTATATGACTTATGCAGTTTGTATTATGTGGCCAAGTGATGTAATGCATCTATCCACAACATTCTAGACATGCTCTATTAAGGATGAATCTGGGGACCAAAGGCTAATCTATACAGCCATCACAAGACAAACTCTGCAAAGTGTCACAACCAATATGAGAATGGTCATTATCCTATTGAAAATTTGCCAGTATGTGGACAGGGTGTACCACCCTGTCCACATACTGGCAGGCAATCATTCTGCATTCAACTCAGAGCTGTCATCATAATTGACTGCTCAAACCATTATTTCAAAGGTTGGACCTTATGTGAAATTCCAAAATCATGGGATAGTGGGCCAT